TATAGGGATATTTAATCAATGAATCTGCAGAGAAGATAATTCACTTGTTATCCTTTATTTAAATTGGGAGCAGGATGATTTCCATAGGTACAAAATATCCACTGATGCAAATAAAGTCAGCACAAATTATAGGTGTTTCCTAGGGCTGATGATACAGCCACAACAGTTTAGAAGAAAATATATACAACCCTGTTAAAAAAATACAGCAGAAGACAATGCTGTCAGATTCTGACAGAGACAGCTAGACAAAAGTTATTTCCATCTATTATAATTCTGAAGCCCATAAAAATTGCTACATAAATTACTTTGGTTTGCTTGCTTTGCATCTTTGCAAAAAGTATTTTAAAAATTCAGAAAAAAATGCATATACCACAGCTATGAATTTAGAAACAAATTGCTTAAGAAATTTTTCTGGCTGCTTGCCAAGAAAAAATCTTTAAGCTTTCCTATTCGATGTCTGTTGCTAGCAGATGAGGTTCAGTTCTTGTTTGAATTGTGTTCTCTGCTCTGAAATTCTTGGCACTTCTAAAAATAGTACTTAGTCTTTCCTGAGCTGTGAATCCTCTGTTGCCTGCAGTTCTGATGATGTACTGCACTCCTGGATATTTCTGTGACGGGAAATCTGACAATCCCTTTTAAAGTGAGATCATCTCTGGTTACAGACAAAGTATGTAACCTTTGCCTCCCCACCTTAGCTAGGGATGGGCAAAACCAAAGTTAGATTACATTTATCTTCTATCTCTGTATTAAGTTGAATGCAATTATTCTGTACCTTGTCAGCTTTGTCAGAAAGAAGGAAACAGAGCTTCATACTGGGGCCTTTTCCAAAGATATTAACACCATTTTATAGAGTTGCACAGTACTGTGTGTGTTCAGAGGAGTAATCAATGCCATTAAACAGTGACAAACAGTACTTTTTTAATTAGAATTTTTAGTTCTAAAAATTCAGTGAAGCACTGCTAAGCTCTTGCTATGAACTTGCTCTTTTGCTGTTAGTATGTATTTCAAATATTCAACGCTGACAAAGTAACTGGATATGTAGATTTAGAGACCAAAGTTGAGCATTTGAAAATCAGACAAGGAATTTAATAATATTTTGAATTTGAACACCTGCCCAAATAAGGGCCGGCTTTGTATTTTTCTGAGATAGCTACCCTTTATTTAGAGAAACAGAACACCAAAAATCAACCAAAGACAAACCCTGCAAAGATAAAGATTCCACAATGCACCTGTGCAATCTATCCTCTTAGTTCTTTATCTCTTCTTTAAACATATTTCCATAATGCCTAATCTAAGTCCTTTCTTTTACGGTCCAGCATTGACAAGGTTTGGTTTCTCCTAGTAGGTTTCTCTGTATTTGAAGACTCCAGTGTGATCCCTTGTCAGACTTCCATTCCAAGCTGTCCAGACAGGGACTCTCACCATAGTGCCTGTCCTCATAGCCCAGTTCTTGATTCCTGTGAGCTGGAACAAGGTGCAAAAGGAACACTCAATGTACGATTGTTCCATCCTCCTGGACTCCTGAATATATTAGTTCTGCTTCTAGTTTTAAAGAGCAATGGAGTGAAAATCAAAGATGAGACTTGCTTTTTCTCATAAATATCAACTTCTTATTTTCCATGTATTTATTGAACCAAGAAGTTCTGAGTTAGTTGCAAGCTGACAGCAAGATGTTATGGTGCATTTCTTCTACCGCACTGATCTTCTCAGATTGTTACCTAGAGACATTTTGAAAATCCTCTGTGGTTGTGCCTTAAGATGGGACAAAAATATCTTCAATTTCCTGGCATAAATCAATCTGATGGGAATGTTATTGCAAATAACCATATCATAACAGAACATGTGCTGATGTATCGGCAGAACTCATACCTTTCTATCAAGCACAGCCTCCTTAGTTTTTTTGCAAGATAAAAATTATATTAACAGACTTATGTATGCTGGTCAGGGTCTGGCAAAAATAATATTTGTGAATTTGCCTTAGGAGGGAATGTACCAATTTCATGGAAATATATTCTTATCATGGTAGAAAGAGTTCCTTTTAGTGGGAAGGGAAAAAGGAAAAAATAGTATAGAATTTTCTGTGATATTATACTAACAGGCTTTTCTCTGTTTTCTATTAGTAGTTATTATTTTGCAGTGCTTGAATGTTCCTTTAATGTTCCTTTTTCTTCTTATATGGGTTGAAATAACATCTGGACACTTCTTTGGAAATCTGCGTGCATTTGTAATTTGACTTTGTACTTGTTTGAAAAGGCCAATACATTAGTTTGATACTCTGGGTGGTTACTAAAAACCCACCCCCAAACAAGTGAAGAAGATGAGCTTGTGTTTGACCAGGTTATTTTGGTCCCTGCTAACTCTCTGTAAGTGCACTGATAACTGCTGCACAGCTGTCCAGCAAATGCAACAACCACTTGGTTAATCAGTTGAAAGTTAACAAAGAAGCAGTTGTTGTTTGCCATTCTCCACAATGGACAACATACCTCTTCCTATATCTGTCTGACTTAGCAGCAGTTCTCTAACGTGTAGGAAAAACAAGGTGTTTGCCTCATGAAGATACAATGGCTTCTTCCCCTAGGTTTTCATTGTGCTCTTTGGTACGATTTTAGTCTTCAGGATTCTGGTCGCTTCTATCTTCTGATTTAATTATTTTTAAATAAAAATTGCACTGCTACCACAGCAATTGAACGTGAAGTGACCTGACTAATGTATGGTGTGAAAAGAAAATGCTAGAAATACCACTTGTTCTCTCTCATTTTCTGTTTCCAAAATCACATTTTCTGTTGTATCCTCTCGGGTCTGCCATGATAATCTGTTGGGGTGCTGATAAAATCCATATATTAGCAAAACAATGATCAGAAAAAGAGGAAGGTGCTGCTTTGAAGGAGTACTCTCTGAAGCTAGCCTCGTGCTCTATTAATTATCTCACTGTGGTAGGTGACCCTGGCTGGATGCCAGGTGCCCACCAAAGGCATTGTAAGAGTCCACTCCTGGGCTGGACAGGGAGACAATATAGAACAAAAGAAAGATGGGAATGGGGATTGCAGTCAATTGTCTCTGTTGTTCCTTCCTCTGGGGAAGTCCTTCTCCTCTCTCCACTTGCTAGTGCTGTCAAAGTTGTTTGGTTTTTTCCCTTATTAAGTGTGTTATCCCAGAAGTGCTACCACCATTGCTGATGGGCTTGGCCTTGTTCAGTGTCAGGTCCATCTTGAAGCTGGCTGGCATTGACTCAGTTGGACATAGAGGAAACTTGTCCCAGAAGTCACCCCTGTAGTCTCTGTTCTGCCCCTGCCCATCCAAAAACCTTGCCTCACAAGCCAGTACCACATCCCTGGGCCTGGGTTCTCCATGGTTTTTGCAGCTGTCAGACTGGAGCAGGTTTAGCAGGCTGCCTAGGGTGGCAGCTGTGCTAATGCCAAAACACAATCAAATGCTGTTATTTCCTTCTGTATTGTTACCAGGGGCATTGGTACAGCCCCAAAGATCTTTCAAATGAAATTGAGCGGAGGCTTCTTTTTTAAGAGCAATGATATTTCTTCCATTTCCATGCAACAAATTTCCCTTTTGACTAGAACAAATTATGTAGTTCTCACAGCATAGAAAAATGAAAGAAATGTCAGGGCTATTATCCAAGGTGGAATTCAATTCTTACCTTTTCTATTACAGAAATTTGTATCAGAACTGCTGTCTCTTCTATGGAGGCACTGCTTACTGAAAATAAAGCGGTACAGTTCAAATGAAATTGCTAATGATTTTATACACAAAGGCTGGTTGGGAAAATATGACTTAGTAAGAGATGATTCTCCTTTAGTCAGAAGTAGTTACTCTTATTCCATACTAAAAAACATGCATTTATATCCTTTTTCCTTAGAGCATTCAGTGTTATACTCAATTGTTCACATTATCTAGGAGATCTGCATCTGTCCTGTAGACTCTTTCTTGAAAAGCCAAAGCTGCGTATATATGGATGAATGGTTCATTCTATCACAAGGGCTTACTACAAGGAAGCCACAGGTACTTAAACCTATTTCCTATGATTTGGATTTACTGTGCTCCTAACAAGAGCAATGTAACTGCTATACACTAAAACATTCAGTGTATGCACCTAAATATTAACAAGCAGAAAAAAAAACCCAGACCAAATTTGTACAAAATCTACTCATTTTTATTTGTCAGGCATAATACGCAAATTTCAAAAATGTTTCAATAAATTTTGAATGCTTACACAATTTTTCTTCTTAGGGGAGTGAGTGTGGGATGGAGAGATTTTCTAATAACCTCTTTTCCAATATTTTCCCTTTTGTTTGACATAATCTTTGCATTGGCCAGCAGGGTGATTCTGTTCTGAACTTAACTGGCAGGTTATTCTATTTAATCTACTGTCAGAAGTCATGCATTTAATTTTCTGTAAAGCTGAGTTAGTTTTTTTATATCTATCAATTAGCTCTTGTCATCTTTTTCATATCTATCTATCTATGGCTAGCTAGTGAGATATATATATATGTATATATATATATGTGTGTATATATATTTATCTTGCTGTGAGAAACTTAAAAAGCATACTAGTACAAACAGCAATGGACATCAATTGATCCTGGAAAGCAATGGAATTATTTTGGGACAGACCCTTGTGATGGAAAACAATTAAAAAGAAATTTATATGCCCCTCCCAACACTGCCTCTTCTGTTGACTACATTACTTTGTAAATGCTTCTGTATCATTAATCTTCCTGCAAATAATTAAGAAATTATGCATTTTGTCTACAGCCTAAACCACATTAACAATAAATACATAAATGCACAAATAGCATGGAAGGTTAGATAACACTGGTGTACCTCAGATGATCTGCTTTATCCTTCTCCAGATCCACTAATTGATTCATTCACATGCACATTTGGTCCTCCAGTCTGAGCAAGCCAAGGCTCTGGGTGAGTGCACCTTCACAAATCACTACCCATTTCTTTGTGAAGCTAACTAGAAGGACAAAATCTGTTGTTTTGTTGTGGGGCGTTTTTTTCTTTTCTGTGTAAAAAATAATGAGAATCTGATTCTTCCTTTGAGGCAATAGCATTGACAGTCAGTATTTTCTTTTCAGAATAGGAATTAGTTTGAAGAAAATGAAAGCATATACTTGAATATGTGCTTCAAAAAATGTCTAATGCAAGTGATGAGAGGAATTAACTTCACTGTAGTGGTCAATGCTTTTTTAATGAATAAAGTCCTGCAGTTATTTCCCTTTGAAACTGAAGTATATCTGAACTTTTTGAGGAGTGGAGGAAGACTTGAAACAAAATCATGGGTATGTGATGAACAGTGTGAATTTATCACATCTCCTTTTTATGAGCATGAATGGCTCTTTTCTTCTAATAACTTTGATTCTATTCATTTAGGAAATTTTCACTACCTCAAAGCGAACTTCATTCCTTTTCAAATTACTTCTCTTAAAAAAAAACAAAACAAAAACAACACAACAAACCGGTATATCCCTACCTTTGTTTCCCTTTGCAAATATTTATTTCTCTAAAATTCTGAATACATAATAACCCCAAATTTATTTCATATTTACCTCATGCACAGACGGTGCACACTTATCCAAAGTATGCTACTGCTCCCTGGTTTATATGAAGCTATGCAGGATGTTACAGTCTTCACAAATACAGCACCTTAGAGATATAGAACCAAAATAAAAAACATAGCCTGCAGTCACAGACAGTAAGCCCACAATGGGTGCAAAAATGCACAGTGTTGGGTTGACTTTGTCTGAATGCCAGTGCCCACCAAGCTGCTCCATTGCTTCCCTTTTCAGCTAGACAGGGGAGAGAAAATAATATGGAAAATGACAGTTTACTAAAGCAAAAGCTTGCATTTCCCAAGCAAATAGAAAAAAAATAGGTTTATTCTCACTTCCCATCAGTGAGTGACATTCAGCCACTTTCCAGGAAGCAGGGCATCAGCATGCACAGTGGTTGCTCCAGAAGATGTTGTGAATAAAGATGTTCATGTTTTCTCCCCCTGCAGAGATATTCTGCCACAATGCAGCAGCCCAGATGAGTTTACCCCTGCGATGCCGATTGTTCTGCTTCCACTGCCACAGCCACCCCTATAGGGAATCAGCCACCATCCAGGAGTCAGTATAAAGTACAGGCCACTTTTCTCCTTCAGCAATCTCTAGGGCTAGTTAGTTGGCTGTCAGTTGTGCAAGTTGGCTTGACTCACCTTTGCTTCAGCAGTCTCAATGACTTGTCCTGTGGGACTCCACACTGCAGCTTTCCGATGGTTTCCTACCACAGCAGGTTCCATCACTAAATACAGCAGAGCCTTTTGCATCTTCTGATAACTCATTACATGGTGGTGCATTTTGGGCATGAGTCACCTTCTCAGGCAAGGCTCCAAATCCCTGCCTCTGGCCAGTCCATAATCTCTTCCAGGATTCCTGGGCAATTGGGTTTCGCTAGTCAGGCACTTACTCCACATAGCACTGGTTGTGTGATGTGTTGAGGCGGTGTTTCCTGTGAACATCCGGTGTAGCACAGGCAGTTGCAGTGCCAAATTCCCTCCTTCACCTCTGTGAATCACACATTTAACAATCATCATTGAAATCCATATTCATCACACAGAGGTTCCAGTATAACACAATTTATTAATAAAGTTACTAATGATAGAAAATTGTGACAGGCTAAGTTTTGAAGATTGCTAATGATGGTAACTGACTGCTAAAGCAAATTTGAAGCAATATACAGGCAAGCTGTAATTACCAATGAAAGCCAGCTTGAGTTAATAATTCAGTGCCCATGGAGGAATGTTCTTATGCAACAGATGTCCCTAGGGAAGAGAGGACAGGTTCAGCCAGTCAGCTTATCCAAGAAGGTACTATGGAGTCTTTCCTAACTTCTCCCCATTCTTAACTCACTTTTATACTATTTCTTTAGGTGGGGCTTGCGTGACTCTTGCCATATACACTTTTGTAGCTGATTGGTATAAAATTCTCTTGCTTTGCTCTTAAAAGATATAATCAATAAAATATAGAGTGCATACTTGATGAGAGGTGATCTTACCATGGGGAGATGGAGGTGTGAGTTAGTATTACATTTAGATAATAATGAACTGAGTTCATCTGAAGAGACCAACGTCCCCACAGTTAGTGGCTCAGCAGCAAGACATGCCCTGGGCTGACAGCTGCTGTGTGCTCTGTCAGACACATGGAACCATCACAGTCCCAGCCCTGCAAGGATTACAGCAGAGCCTGGCTGGGGTGTTTCTGCTCTGCTCCATCCTCTGTTTCATCCCTCAGCATGTGCTTAAGATTGCAGGCTGTGGGGAATGTATGTGAGGAATCATCATGGAATAGATTTTGTGCATGTCAACTGCATTCCATTCAGGAAGTAGCAGCTGTACTTCACCCTATCATTTGCATACTATTATAACTTCTGTTAGAATGGGAGTATAATTTTCCAATTTTCTAGTTTTACCTGCAGTCATCTTCCCACAGACACTGTGTATGCATTCAAAAAGGCTCTGTAATAATCCTTATATTGTATCATTACACAGGACCATTTTAAGTCTGTATGTACTGAAGTATGTGATTGTTTATTTGGTAATATTGAAGAGAGTATGAAAAATACCAGACCTGGAAGAAAAAAAAACAAAAGAGATAAAAGTAACTTATTTAAATGAAATCTAAGTATATTCAAATATTTTTCCTCTCATTCCAAGAAGGTGATTTATCTAACCTGCTTCTAATGCACGCGATCTACTGAAAATTTACTAATGGAAAGGATGTATGAGCATCAGATGGCCAGTTCACCTATGCATACCATCTTAACAATGATTTTGGGGACTCAGCATAAAGAAAAGGATTACAGAAACACAAGAGCAAATCTAGACAGAATCACTGAAAAACTCCTGATCAGTGTTTCTGCACAAACTTTTTCTTTAATTTGATAATTACTTATGCAAAGTAAACCCATGCCTGTTTGGGATAAAATATATGAAGATGAAGTGTTACCAATCTAATTTATCCTTTGCTTTAATCTTGAGTGGCAAAGCCACATGCTTTCCTTTGCCTGCAGCACTGTAACATTTTAGTGTCGTTCCATATCTCTGTGGTGCATGTAATAGGAAAACTTAATTAAACTGCATCTGGCTTCAGGTGGTCACACAGACTACATCTAAGAGATTTGGCATTTCAGCTTACTTAAATGTCTTCAAGTACTGATTTCTTCTTTATTGATAGATACAAGGTAGCATGGTGTTTGAGAGCCATCTAGCATGACTGAAAAACGCATGATGTGTCTTTGTATGTTCAGTAGGTAGGGAGTTCATGAGGTGTGTGCATCAGATAATTTCCCGTGGCTTAAGTAATTAAATCAGGTTTGGAATTTCTCATTCAAGTACATGACTTCTCTCCTGCCAAGGATTGTTGTAGGAATTTTTAAAACCTTATGTGTTTCTGAAGAAACAGTTGAGAGAGTTGTAAATCTAATCAGCATGCCAGCTGCAAAAATATTGTCTTGCTAACTCTCTATAATATCTTTCTGGCTATGTGTTCATACAGGAGATACAACATAAAGAATTTTCTATATAGAAAATGTGGTAGTATTGTTATAATGCCAAAGCTCTGAAATTTTTCTATTTTTTTAATATAATATTTGAACTTGAAACGAAAGTCAACTACTTCATTATTCATTGCTTTTCTACTTAAAAAAAAATATCTTCAAACAAATCACAGAGTATTTTGATTTTCATTTAGTGTCCTGCTGTCATTACATTGCATAGGTTCCATATTGCTAGAGTTTCATACCTCCTTGATGTTCATTGTAGGCAGCTCCTCCAGGCACTGGCTCTACCTTGTCCTCACAGCAGCCAACAGGCTCCAGTTCCCTCAACTAACCAATCCACTCTTTTATAACACTCCTGTCATCGGCTACAGCTGTAGCCTGTTAACATCAGGCCTGCTCCTAATCCTTAATGATTGGCTCAGCTGCAACTCCTTAGGGGGTAACATTACTTTCTATACTACTTTTATTTACTTATGTTCTATCCCCCGACAGTGTCCAACTCATGTGGTGTTTTTTTCTGTAGGATTCTGCTTTGGCAAGAGTATTTTAGGTGAAAAAAAGTATATTTTGACAAGTTTGCTTGATTTTCTTTTAGTAAAAAGCCAATTTTCATAAATGACATGTTGCTGGGTGTTCTGGTTTGACATTGGCACAAGGCCAAATGCCCACATGAAAATACACCTTCTCTGGTGTCTGCTGTGAGATTTTGACCAGGAATAAACAAAGCAGGCTCTCACTTGAAAAAA